AGATGGTTGTGCCGGGAGGATTCATTGGCGGCGGCTTTGTCCGATTTAATACTTTCTCGACAAATACTCTTCCCGTTTAGCCTGGCTCAGGCTCACAACCGGGCGTCACTCGTGTCTTGTTTTCTCGTTCCGTCAGGCCAATGTTGCTCCGTCTACTCCCTTCATTGCAACCGTTTCCCTTTCCGTACCCTCCCAATGTAAGGGTCTTTCTCTCCTTCGGGAAACCACTGCCTTCCTTCTTTCTACAACAATACTGACTACTTTTTGGATCGTTTTTGTATTGTCATGAATCATATGCCCACCTAAAGTCATTGAACGAATGCGTGTCCGCTACTGAATGGCCTAAGTGGATGGTTTGAGCGCTATACCTTTGTGAATTGTTGATTGTGTCCACACATCCGTTTGGTCTACTGAGCTCCTGTTCTGCGTCCACAGACACAACAAATTGTCTTCACTTGCTACTAATGTTTCTACACTACACAGCCCCTAAGCGATTCTAGACGGATCCACCAATTACCACACGGCAGAATCTTCGGACGATCGGAAAATTACTTTTTCAGATTACATTCCGGTTTCGCCGATCCTAAACACTTGAGTGATTTTAAACTCAGAGGATACTTGCAAGCTGCTTCGGCTGCACCGCGGTTCTGAAGGCCGGCATATGTGGGATACACTACGTCTTCGCTAGAAGCGCACTCGGAAGGATAAATTCGTGGCTCACGCTATGCATTGTGGGGCGTGTATGCACACATACACTGCTTGCTACGACTTTATCCAGATGAAACAAACACGTGGCGAGCATTTGGACAAATTCATTTCTCGCCTTGTCCGTTTTGGGCGCAAATGTGACTAGGAGAGTGTTCCTAAAAAGGAGCTAGGTTAAACTATGCGTATAAAGCACCTGATCCCCAGTCTGTCCGATTCTAGGAGCAGAGAGAGGCTGTTAATGGTGGATGCTGCCCAGCACTCCTGGGATAGATCCTGCGACCCAGCGAGTGCAAATGTCAAAATTAGTAAACAAAAATAAAATTTTCGTTCAACCTTTGGGTCTGCCGCGATCGACTGCTTGAACATTACACTATCTGCTACGATATCCCAGGAAAGCAAACAGTCAGCATTGCGCCAAGCCCTGACATTTTCCCAACCTATAGTTCACGCCCCATATCACTTGCTGTTCCCACTACAAGTACCTTTTCGGCCTCCCCGGCCAACCTTGAACCGAGGATCTTGGACAGTTATGAGTGTAAAGGTTCGATTACTTGTTATGCTAAGGATCCTAAATTACATTGCTTAGGTATTGCACATCTTTTGAAGTGTATAACAAAACGTTCTGTTAGATATGGCACTAGATTATGAGGCACACATTACAAAATTTCCATAGGGGTTTTGCGGTTTTTCTACTATCTACCTATTCTTTAATCGTTGTCCACTTTCAGTAGCTACTCCAATGGATCTGTTTAACTTTCGGGTGGTGTTACAGATTCAGCATCCCTTAAAGACAATAGAAAGTATACAGATGAAGTCTAAATAAATAAATAAATAAATAGTATATTCTCGGTAAAACGAGACACACCTCTAAAAGGCATGATCAAATATGCATACAAGCATAGCTTCTTTGGAATATTAAAACATTTCGTTACAATGAAAGGAATAAACGAAAAGATGTAGTCCATAAGAGCGAGCATATTGTCAGGTAATAGTCAGACCAAGGATCATAATGGCGCCGTGGCGCGCAAAAAATGTTGCGTCAAGATACAAGTGGGGGGTAAATTTGCCATGTAGTGATCCAGAGCACAGGAGCCCGAACAAGGTTTAGTGCAATCGATGACCATTACGAAGCCGGGATGATCGGCACTCCACTAAAGCATTCTTCATAGTAAAATCAGTTGCACAGGTTCGAGGTTGGAGGCTGGGGACTGCGTCAGTGTGAAATGTATAGCTGTGACTTTATTTTGTGGCGAGTCACATCCGCCACGTTGCAGTGTTGTTAAGCGGACATTTGTGGCTTTTTATAGGGAGAACGCTTGCCAGGCGAAAACCCACCACGTCCTGGAACACTGTCGTAGCTTCCGTTGAACTGTAGTGCTAGTCGGCTATGCATCGTATAGACCGATTTTGCACTCTATTATTTGCAGTCGGTTGACAGCCAAAATGTTTCGTTGGTTGGCCAAATGGCTTAGTACTGAACCGGCAATAGTCGTTGAAGCCAGTCAATGATGTAAAAGACTCGCAGAGTCGAATGATAATGATGCGGGTGAGTAAATATACTGTTAATAGAGGCCGGCTTTTTCTATTATATTGTCCGGCTCGCAACCCGTGTCCAGCTATCCATGCTGGACTTGTCATAGGGACGGTGAGTGCAGTTGTTTCTTGTGTCTGAATATGTCCAAAACTGGAATAAATGCTATTCTCCGCGAAGTGGACAAGTATTTCCTTCAAATGTAAGTGTAATTGTTTCCATAACCAAGTGAGAACTCCAGGAAAAATCATCGGAAAAGCCGCTTATGCGCGCGCAGTGTTGTCCGTGAAATGACATCAGAAAAGCTCCAGGTGACTGGAGAATCGGAATGTTTGAGGCAGTGAAGGTAATCACGCCAGAATTGTCAGTCTCCGGTTGTGGAACAGTGGATCCATGTAAGTACATTATTCCAGGTGAGTAAATTGTTCTACTGTGAGTACGAGGCGAGCTAAACCCATTTGTTTAGACCCCGTGGTGGTAGCTTCTCCAGAATGGCGGAAAGAGCTCCATTTGGAACGATGTGTGGGTTCTTCATCTCCCGGAGAAAAGAACAAGCATGTAAACCAGCTGGCTATTGAAAGTGGGTCGACT